AACAGCCTCAGCCTTCTCTTCGGCATTATTCTGAGCTTTAATTGCAGTTTCGGCTTGATCCTCCAGCTTCTTCATTTTTGATTCAAGGCCTTTATTGATCTTTTGAATAGAAGAGAACTCCTTTTTCATGTCGGCTAGCTTTTGCCGATTCTCAAAAGACTGCATTGAGAAAGAATGGCCGTGCTGGATGGCCTGAAAGAAAACGAAGATATTAAAAAATATTCAAAGTGTGAAATAAAGAGAAAGAAAAATTTACCGAGAAGAAGACATTTACCTGAACAGAGTGCTGTAACATCAAGGCATAATTTTCATACTCGCTGTACTTGGCGTTCCGCTCCAAGTCGCCTGGGAGAAGTAAAGCGGTACTGAGTGCAACGCCGACATTAATATCGTCGACACTGTCGCTTGCCATTACAGGCTTATCCTCTAGGGTGATCTCGGGGGCCCAGGGGACAGCTGGTTTCTTTGACCCCGAAGTCGTTGCAGATGACCTCGACTTTTTTGATTTGGAAGATTCGGAAGGAGGTACTTCGGCAGACCTCTTCGAAGGGATAGAGGCAGTTCTCTGACTTAGAGCTAGTTGTGGGGCTGGTAAAGTGTCCTCAGCCTCAACCTGAGCCATTTTCGCCTTCGGTTGAGCTTTCTTAATTCTTTTTGGTTTTTCTGGAGGTTGGGTTTGTGTTGGTTGTTCATCGATAGATGATGGAATGTTTGCTAGGAGGTCTTTAGCAACTGGCTTTGTGCGACCCATCTCAGCTGCAAGAACAAGACGTCGGCGACGCTTTCTTTGGGATGGTGAAATGAGGTATGGAGCCGAGGTCGACGGTTGTGCTGCTGGATCAGAGGTTGAACCTTGGTCTGTTCGCGATGATGAAGCAACTGGAAGAGTTGTAGCAGAGGGAGGAGATGAGCTCTTCTTCTTCTTTTTCCTGGGGACGTTGGGGAGAGCTGATCTGTATGTTGGGATGAAGTTGAGAAGCAGGGGTGCCTTTCGCTTCTGAACTGGCAGGACCAGCAAATTCTTTAAATCCTTGCTGGGAACAAAGGATTGGCGAAAGTTTTTTGGCGGTTGAGGAAGGACTGCAAAAAGTAAAGACAAAACAGACATTAGGAAACAGATAAAGCATACAAGACTTTAGAAGTAAAACAAGTATGAATGCAGGGCTCTTACCATTACCCTCTATAAAGACTGATTGAGGGAGAGGGAAGAGATGGAGCTCTTCATCTGGGGCAAACTCCTAATTCCCCGAGGTAATGAAATAATCATCTCCAGCCCCCTTATTGGAGTCTGGGAGGTCGGCTATAATTTTGAATTCTGTGGACCTCGGCTTAAGGTAATAAATGTAGCCTTTCTCTTTCAAGTTAAGGCCACACATGATATAACAGTATTGGATGTCGGCAAGGGTGATCCTAGCGTTTTCCTGTTTAGCTAGGGCTATGATACCAAAGATCACTCGATAGGAATTGATTGCCAGTTGTATAGGGTTCAACTTATAGTAATGAAGAACTTCACGAAACAGAATGTTTAAAGGAAGCCGAAGTCCACACTCTATGAAGGCGACTACAGGGAAGGGTATGGAGTTTTCAGTAGGCATGATGGAGTCATCATCCCCAGCCAACCTCAGATTGACATCGGCCGGGATCTCAAACTCCTGTCTAAAGTATTCAAGTTTGGAGGGGGTGTTTACCCTATGTTTCCGCATACCCATGATATCGACTTAATCTTAGAAAGTGGGTCTCAGAAGATGTTTCTAAAAGGTTATTGGGACCTCGGCAAACAATGAAGAGGAGCAGGTTTCAGTTTTTTCCTAAGTTATGAGTTCTACATACAAATCCCAGACCTAAATCTATGGAAACACAGATTGAAAGCAAGAATCTGGAAAAGATGCAAAAAACAGAAAAAATGAAGTTTCAGAAACAAGAATTGAGATGGGCTATCAGGAACATGAAGAATACAAGAGTGTATGGCCAAGAACAGTGGCAAAAGTGTAAAGATGTGGTGAAACAGTGCATATGTTCAAAATGTGGGCAAAGGCAAAATCATGGATGAATGCATTCAGATGTACGATTTATAAATTGAAAAAGCTTGAAATAATACAGTCATAGCTACAGCAAAAAGAAGAAACATCAAGGAACTGAAAACGAAAGGAACAGTAGCTTACCTAAGAAAGGGAAGCCAGAAAGGGATTTGCCGATGTCCTACGACGGTTGGAGTAGCAGCAGACCGGTGGAAATCTCGCCAGAAGGGGTGAACGGAGGAGGTTGCAGAGTTTTGGAAGCTTGAGCGATGGAAGATTTCAAAAGCAAGAGAGAGAGAGAGAGAGAGAGCAGGGAATTCGAATGAAAAAGTGAAAAGACGGAAAAAAGAGAGAAGAGTTTTTGATTAAACAGAAACGGTGGCAAAAGCAATCAATACGCCTAGAAGAACGAGGGCGTCAGACGACGCACGTGAGAAAAGAGGTGGCTAACAAGCGCGTCACATGTACGAACCAACAAGAGGGAAACGTATGACAAAACGGGTGAATTGGAGTGCATGACAGCTCATGCGTGTGAGAAGGTCCTTAAAAATCTTGATTTTTTAGGGAAAGCATGTCGGCCTGAAATGAATGATCTCGGCTGTCAAAATTTAAGCCGATTTACTGGAAGAAAATACAAATATAGGTTCCATCACCTCAGATTGCCGAGGTAATAGGTAATAGAACCTAGGGGCAGTTGTGGGGATATATTTTCTGAGTACCAACACGTGGCAGGTGACGCCGACGTGTCAGCTGAGGTGCCATGTGTCCTGATTGTAACGCCGAGGTTGTCTCGGCAAGGCCGAGGTTATCTCCGAAGATATCGGAATCCGAGATAAATGGATAAAAGATAAGGGACAAGAGTCCTAGAGTAAAGAGGAGACTTAGCCAAGATAAGGATAAAACTCTTAGGGAGTTTATCTTTATCTCTTGTGAAATCCAAATTAAGCACTGGATGGGAGTCAATAGAAGTCAGGCTTCTAGTGGGATTAGGATTGAATTGGCTATAAAAGAGAGGCACCCCCGTGGGTCTAAGGTACGCAGTTTTATGTTTTGAATAACGAGTTTAGCACTTGGTTATCTTTGAGAGATATATTGACTTGATCGTCGGAGTGCCCCCGGGTGGAAGAGCCACCGCCGGAGCCTTTTCTTTCTGTTACAGGTTAGCTGAAGCCATCTATTCTGCCGGTACTCTCCAGCTGATTACTAGGCAGGCAGTGTGGTCAGAAAATCACCCACACAGAAATCATTCTTCTATTTTTCTTCTTCTTTCTTAATGGAGAAGTTGAGACAATTCTTTACAATTCGCTACCTTGGTGAAAATTCTCCAATACATAAATTTGAACAAAACTCTACCTTAGCGAGATACCACAAACAGATAAACAACCATGTATGTGTTTCAAAGCGAACACACTTTAATGCCCAAAATAAATTCTACTGCATCAAACAAAACAAACAAGCGCTCTTCAAACAAATCAAAACAAAACAGCAGACTCAAAAGCTCGAGACATATCAAGCTAATCCAAACAAACTACAGAACAAAACGAACTAGTTCTTTTAATTTTCTGCAACAAATCCCAATTCCAAACTCCATCATGATGTCAAATTCCAAAATTCCAAAACACCGAAGTTGTACTAAGACCTGAAGTAGATTGCCACAAGATCTTCAAACTAAGCTCTGATCTTTTCCTCTGGCACAACAATCTATTTGTTGTGGCAATCTACTTTGTTTTGGCACAACTATAGTGTATTCAGAATTTGTTTTGCACAGATATATATGAGAGATCATAGACAATCTTACAGATAACATTTATCAGATTAGGGACTAAAGTAATCCCAAAATGTCAATCATTGAAAGGAGCCGTAATGGTTGAAAGTAGGCTAAAGCATATACATTCATATGCACTAACATTATTGTTGTGCTCAAAGACCTAGATATGAGGCAAATTGCCGAAAATAAATAAATAATAATAATACACTCACAAACAAAGATGCACAAGAATAACAAAATAAATTCTAATTCACTCAAAGGAATTCAAAATATATACAAAATCTCACAAACAAATACAAAGGAGAGATAACCTCTCCTAACTCACAATTTCTCTTAAATTCAAATATTTTCTATCTTGGCATACCAAATACAATAACTTACTTATCTAGTTATAGGTTTCTTCTGAGGGTGAGAGACGGAGGCGGTGACACCAAAAATCTCTGATTCACCGTCTCATGAGAAGCTTCATCGTAGATTCCATTGTTGACCTTCAAAGGTTGAACTCGAGATGATATTTCCTTATAGCAGTTTCTGGAGATTCTAAGATCAATCTTGAACCTTCAAGTACTCTTTAGAGAAGAGAAACCATTCTTCTATTTTTCTTATTCTTCCTTAATGGAGAAGTTGAGACAATTTTTCACAATTCTCTATCTTGGCGAAAATTCTCCAATACATAAATTTGAACAAAATTTCACCTTAAGATACCATAAATAGATGAACAACCAACCCTGCATGTGTTTTAAAGCGAACAAACTCTAATGCCAGAAACAAATTCTACTGCATCAAACAAAAAAAACAAGAGTTCTTCAAACAAATGAAAACAAAACAGCAGACTTAGAAGCTCGAGATGTATTGATTGGAGCCTAAATGTTACACATTTAACTCGCTAAAATACATTTTATTAATCCATTAATTTGTATTATTTTATAATTTTGTATACTTTTGTGTGTTTTTATATATTTTGAGTGTTTATTCCTTTATTATTGTAAATAATACATTTTAAATATTTTATATATTATATTATATATTATGAATTAAAAAATATATAAAAATAACAAAAAGAAAATGAGAGATGTCGAGACTACCGACAATCTCCACCATATATATATATATATATATATTAATTATATAAGAATAATAATAAATCTATAACATATATAAAAAAGAATGTAAGAGTGGTGTAACGCATGTGTAAAGTTGGGCTTCTTGGTGTAGCTTTGTTGCTTCTTTGGTTTGTAACGTAGATTTGGGCTGGCTACGTGGCTTCAACTTAGCCACACACGTGACAGCAGAACAAAACAAATTCCATCATTCCTCCTACAAATTCCTGATTCCTTCATGCTTTCAATCTGCGAAGCAGTGGAAATTGATTTCTCCTAGAAGATTCATTTGTTCGGTGCACCGCTCGGATAACAATTGCTAGCATTCAAGCAATATCGCCTCTGCAACTACCAAAACTTCAGCTAATTTCTTTGCTTGCTCAACTGCTGGAAAGATTTCTAATGTGTTGCTAAAGAGAGTCGGTTAGTTGGTGCACAAAGCCAAGTCTATATATATATATAGAGAGAGAGAGAGAGATATGTGTGTATACTCTTTGTTCTGTTTCGCTTCTTGTCTTGGTTCAACTTCTTTGTTTCTCGGTTCATAGATTACTGCCCCAAATCCACAATCTGGTATGTAATTTAGAACTTTTGTACTCCTTTTCCTGCTATATATGAATATATTGACATTTGATTTGCCTGTCTCTGTTTTCATGGGTACTGTTAGTCCATAGACAAATGAGGCACACCACCTGCTTGACAAAATGCCTAAACTCTAAATAAACAAGTAAATGAATCAAAACATATCCAGACCTTTAAACCAATAATATACAATTGAAATTTAAAACTAAGAAATAAACCTATATAAGGTTTTCATTACAATATTTAGATTGCTCAGTTTGTGAATTTGTAGGATTGCCTAATTCATCCCATTTATTATTAATTGGTCAATAATATATTGGTGCTCCTAGAAAGACTTGGGGCTTGTTTGGTTTGTATTTGAGAAACATGTTTTGAGATAAAAAGTACGAAAATTTGTTTGATTTGGTTTTTTTTTAAAAGATGTTTTGAAAAATTATTTTGAGAGAGAGTTTTGGAAAAAGTAATCGATTTGATGTGTATGAGAGAGAGATTTGTTTGGAAAACTTGTAAACTAAACAAGTTTTGGAAAAAAAATTTGAAAAAATTTGTTTGGTTTGATTACTTTTGAAAACTTATTTGTAGAGAATTTTTCTCCAAATTTTTTGAAAAACACAAACCAAACAAGGCCTTGAAGTTTGAACTCTTATTATAGTCTTAGACATACAATGATACAAGAGATTTTGTTAATTATGTTATTCTTTATCAAAAACTTTCGTTCAAAAATTTCACCTTTTGAAATCAATAATATAATGTTTAAAATCTAAAGTACTTCAAAGCAGATGATATCCCATGAGACATTTAATATCTGTTAAAGAATGAAGTTCAATAAACCTATCCACTGTGCAATTTTGATTATTGCATGATTTTATTCTTATTTGTGGCAATATGCTGAGAAAATTTAGGGAAGTAGAAGGTATTATTTATTTGGTTCTTAAGAAAAGCTTCCTAACAGCCATTTGAATTAACGAGTTTGGTGAGAAAAGAAAAGAAATAGAGAGAAAGAGATTCTTTATTTGGATGATCAAGGAGATCAGAAAAGGAGAGAAATTGTGAGAAATAGAACACTCTTAAAACTTGTGTTTTGTTTTTCACTATAATTGGTGAGGGAAGGTGCTGTATAAAATCAAAATACCTAAATTTTAAATAGGTGTGGTTTTTTATTTGTTCATTCAAGCACAATGGTGAGTGACCCCAATTTTTTATCAAATGGTTTGTTATATTTCTTTCTCACTATTTGACACCTAAAAAACTAAATGCACTATTTTTGTTGGACTTGGTTTCTTTACTGTAATTGGTGAACTTTTTCATGATTTGGTTAGCTAGATAGAATATAAAAGTTTAAGCCTATCTTGTAATTGTTTGCTAATGAAATGTAATGTTGAACTTGTTCATATTGTGGTTATTTAGTTTGTTATATTTCTTTTTCACTATCTGACACCTAAAAAACTAAATGCACAATTTTTGTTTGATCTGGTTTCTTTACTGTAATTGGTGAACTTTTTCATGATTTGGTTAGCTATATAGAATATACAAGTTTGAGCCTATCTTGTAATTGTTTGCTAATGAAATGTAATGTTGAACTTGTTCATATTGTGGTTAGCTAAATAACACCTTTAAGCTTCTACTTTATGTTTGATTCCCAAGGAAATGAAAGAAAACAAAAAAAAATTAAAAAGACTTGATTGTTAGTTTTGTTTTTGAATGTGTAAATTAATCAAATCTGAAATGAAAATTAGTAGCCTTTGCTAAATAGAGCTTAAAACAAAGCATTTGACTTAGTTCAACTGGTTTATTTTATTTAAATTGAACCTACTAGAAATTGAAGTTTCAATTTTTTGGCTACTAATAAGTGGGCTATGTGATTTGTTGTGTGATTTTCTAATTTGGTTTATTTTGGTTGACAGCGAGACATACTGTCTGGTCCTTTGGGATCAGGTGTAAAGAGAAGATTGCTTGCTATGTCATAGTTAGAGGTAAGAAGGCAATGCAACTTCTGGAGAGTGGATTGAAGGTAAAGGAATATAAGTTGCTGTGAAGGAACTTCGGTGAAACTGGCTATTTTGGCTTTGGTATTCAGGAGCACATTGATCTCAGAATTAAGTAAGCGGATATATTTATATGACTTCATTTTCTTTGTATAAAGCAATATTTGTTTTAGTAGTTCTCTACATATAATAAGCATTTAAACATAGTTATCTCGTTATGTAGAGTTGTTGGTAGTTATATCTGAGATTCTGAGCATGTAGTATTTGGATTGATTTGTTGTACAAGGTGATGGTGCCAGACTAATAGATGGGCTTGACAAGGACTTACAGTCTAACTATTCTTGACCATACAACTTATGGCATATATTACTTTCTTTTCACTTGACTATATATTCCACGATTATTCTTATGCAAGATATTGGAAAGATACCATCATACAAAGTTCATTATCATGGTTTTCTCATTATCTGATTTGCCAGTTCATAGTTTCATATTGAATTGTTGAAGAATGAAGGCTTTAGTGAAGTTATAAATGATTAGATCATGTGGGTAGTTTGTGTTCCATACCATGTTGTACATGTACTCTTGCATTGATTTGGTTTCATATTGGTGCACTAATGAGATATCTTGTTTATACTTTGGGATTTATTTGGTAGAGCTATGGCATATATGATTTAGAATACGAATTTAATCACTCCTAAGTATTTGGATTTGGACTGCTCTATAGGGAATTGGTTTTCTTTTAGCCAATGTTTGGATCAACGATTTGAAAAGGGTATTTGTTGAGGGAAAGGAAAAGAAAGGGAAAATTGAAAAAAAGAAAAGAAAAGAGAGCTTAAATCAGGTTTCTTCTTTGTCTCCACAAATCTCTACTCAAATCCTTGTTCCAAATAAGATCAAGATTGGGAAAGCAAAATATTGGAGAGTACAATTTTAGTTTTTTTAGTCAATTACTTAAAAGGGCAAAACGGGTGTTTTAGAAAGAAAAAAAAAATGCAGACTAAAAAATTAGAGGGCTTCCCTAATTGAAGCTCACTAACATAATCATATATATATATATATATATTCAACCATTACTTGCAATAAAACCTCGTCTATGCTAAACAATGCAAGATAAATTCAATCTATGAGAGCCTTTGTTGTAAGTTGGAGCTGTAATGCTTGGTCAGGTATAAGAATTTGGTAATCTATTCCCGAATCTCCATAAATAAGAGAGTAAGATGATTTGGGTATTTGAGGCACTTGGAAGGATGTTTTAATGCTTCTTGCTTACAGTTCAATATTTTGCTCTATTAAATATTGAATTGGTTTCTTGTAGCGTCAATCTCAAGATCACACAGATGTTAACTTTGTGAATCTCTTTTCACATTAAATATTGAATGGGATTCTTTGGGTTCTTATGTGTTTTCACGGCCCTTTTGAGACCTCAAATTGGGTTCTTTGGGTTCCTGTGCTTAACCAAGACTGGTTTAGTTCTTTTTTAATGTGAGTTGCATTTGATAATTCACATTTCCACTGGTCAATTTATTATTCCTATCATTTCACTTTTGAAAAACCAGTGTTGATGCTATGTATTGCAGTCCACCTCTGTTACAGATGTTTTGATTGGTTAAGATTTCAAAAAAAAAAAAAAAAAAATGCCTGTTATGAAATGCAATGTTTTTCCAGCCTTTATCTATTTATGTAATGAATAACATATTAGCTTTTTTTGAAAGGTTAGTCAAAAACGTTTTTATTTTTTATTTTTGCTAAATAAGAGTTATATTTAATATTTAGAGTTTGGATTTATTAATATTTAGATGGTCTATAAGTTGATATTTGAGAGTTGAGGGTTTCAATAAGTTCTTGTTTTCAAAAATTTGAACAATTGACAGATGGATTCTCAATAGCTTCATCTTGGGAGAGGATGAGACAAATTGTGGAAGATGTAATTTTTTCGTACAACTATCAATATTACATCAAAAGGAGAATAGTTGAAGGGACTACAATAAGAATGGAGGACCAAAATGTCACAGATTAGGATAATGATGCTCTTCTTTAGACTAGGAAATGAGTAGCTTTAGTGTTTTGATTTTTAGGAACTTCTTTTTCTTTCTTGATAAGTAAAACTTTTAAGACTATTTTATTTAAAATTTTTAAGAACAAATTTTTGGTTAGGTGGAATTAAGAAATATTTTTTGTGACAAAGGAGTTATGTTTCTTACTATATAAAGGGAAAAAATGCATATATTTTGTAATTGGAGTTTTTTAGAAAAAAGATTGTGGTGGGACCAAAATTCTGTATTTCACGAAGCATGATTGGGTGAGAAACTCAAGCATATAGCATTTTGTAAGCGCACTTGTGCTACTGTAAAGCTATTAGAAGTGGTGCCTAAAAAATGTGATTTTGGTAGCTATTAGAAGTAGTGCCTAAAGAATGTGATTTTGGTTGTTTGGAAGTACCATGAAAGGATGACTTAGCATTTCTTGTGTTGGAGTAGCAGTTGTGATGTTTGGTTAGAGTTAGAGTAGTGGTTACAATCTATGGGCACTAATAACAGTTGATGTAATGGTGGAAGGGTCGCAATGGTAGGGTTGATGGTGGCACACTGGTGTTGAAGAGTTGGTTGTTGAAGAGTTGGTTGCCTTGATTCTTGAAAGGAACATTTGGGAGTGTTTTTTGCAATTCTATAGACATAGTGGAAGGTAACAAATGACTTAATTTTTAATACGAAGGAAACTAAATGGGAGGTGATTATAATTATGTGATTGTTTTGTATTGGAGATGTGCAGTATAGTTCTTGTTTTGAATTGATCGTATTTCTCTCCCCAGTTTGTACTCATCTTATTAATAAATTTTTTGTTGGTAAAAGAAAAAAAATTTTAAAATAAAGAAAAAGAACTTGTCTTGTATATATAGAAATTTCTTAAATAAGTATTATAACTGTGACGTGACTCCACACGCGTAGCGCGGGGTCCAACTAGTAAAAAATAAAAAGAAAGAAAGGAAAGAGACGGTAGTGGTGGTGTCACCCACCATACCACTAACTAATATATATACATATATTAATTAATTAATTTATATACTATTTCATTGTTTTGTTTTTGCAGGTGATGGACTTGGTTATAAAAAGCCATGAAGAGGAGAAAGGAGTTCAGGGAGGAGCAGAGCTTGCAGGAAAGCTCCAGCTCCAAGTGAGAGTGTGTATTTTTTTTTTTTTTTTGTAAATATTAGAATGAGTGTTAGGAAATAATTTCATTTTTTAGGGTAGAGATGAAACTCTGACTAAATAATTAGGGTGAGTTGCTGTTGGCTTATTTTTTTTACGAAGGAAAATATCATATGCGAGCGTGTCAGTAAGAATTGAAAAATCCTTACAGATTAAATTCAAGCCAATTATCAAGCGATTGTGTTGACGGTTCTTTTGCCTTAATGAAGAGGATTTCAAAATTGTCAAGTGTAAAGAAAAGAAAAATTAAAAGAAGAAGGAGGGAGATAGAGAAAGATGATTGAGTGAGCAATCAAACTAACCATTAATTTATCTCTACTCCTATGTTTCGAAAAAGAAGTGTATAAAATAAAGTGCAGAGAACTTACCTCTGCTCCTATGCTTTGAAAATGAAGTGCATAAAATAAAGTGCAGAAAATCAAGTGTAGGAAATATAAATGATAAGAAAAATATAAATCAATTGTCTTTGATTTGAATTCTGGATCTTTTTACAATGTGCCATTGATGGCTATTTATAGAGGAAAAAATACAGCAATAACTACTTAGTAACTACCTATATCTCCCATCTTCATCCTTGTCTTTCCATGTGTTCTTCCACTCATCCACTTTGTCCTTCATATTCTCCATCATCTCTATAACTTTTTTTAGCTTCCAAATGAATAAGAGGATACCATGTGTCTTGAAAATAATAGCAATAATAATGCTACTAATAATAAGAATAAGAATAAGAATAAGAATATTTTATTGTGCCAACATTACCCCCTACGGCCTTTAAAAATGATGTTTACTTGAATTTTTGAAGGGCCGAACCAAGCACACATACTGTCATTTTTGTGCCTTAAAAAAAAAGCAATTAGCCATCAATTTGAAAAGATAAGCCATTCTTAACCACTGATTTAAATGCATACGCTTTTCCTAGCCAAGTTCACCATTTCAAATGGCTAAGTTGTTCTTTAATGCATCAAACTCATCAAAACAATGCTTAAAGATGATTGTTTTATTGGCCATTTCCTCAAAATTAAATTTTGATATAAACCACAAATTCAAAAAGGATTTTGAACACCAAGAACCATAGTACAAGATGGCCTTAAAAATTCAAATAACTTGATATTTTGAATAATTTCAAAAAATTCAGATTCATGAGCATTAAATTGTTCATCATTCTTAGCCATGTTTGGCTTGAGAATATGCTCTTTGGCCAAATAACTTTCATTATTTATTGACAAATGGGGTTGTTTTTCTATTTTATCTATTGATGGATTATGAAAATCCTCCATGTGAGTTTTATCATCTCTCTGTCTAATGGATTGTTCCATTTTAGCCATTAATGGCTTATGAAAATCTTTCATAGACATTTTATATTCATGGTTTGACTCTCTAAGAATGGGTTTTTTAACTCCCCGAGTCTTATATGGAACATTATTTTTAACCATGCTTGGCTTAACATGTTTTTTAGCCATGTTATTTTCATAAATTGGCTCTTTAAAAATGAGTTTTTTGACCTCCCGAGCCATTGATGAAATCAACTCTTTACTTTTGCTATTTTCAACCATGGAAAAATTCTGAAAAAATTCACTAATTCCGGCCATTAAAGCCTTAGTTAAAGACTTGGTAGTGAGAGTTGACAACTCATCATTCCATTGGTGAATTTTCATATCAAGTTGATGAATTTCTCTAATTAAATGGTGTCTTTTTTCTTCCACCAAATAATATTGTAAGGGATTAAAGTTTATTTCATTAAGAAAATGTATCTCTTATTGAAGATCCAAAATTTTTTGCTAACGCTAATAGATTTCATCTAGGCTATTTGAAATGGACGAAGCCAATTCATTTTTTATTTCTTACACTTGAGGTCTCACTGGGCATGCCAAAAATTATTGGCTTATTTTTCCTACGAAGGAAAATATCATAAATGTGAGTGTGCCAGCAAGGATTGAAAAATCCTTACAAATTAAATTTAAGCCAATTATCAAGCGATTGTGTTGATGGTTCTTTTGCCTCAACGAAGAGGACTTCAAAATTGCCAAGTGTAAAGAAAAGAAAAATTAAAAGAAGAAAGAGAGAGACAGAGAAAGACAATTGAGTGAACAATCAAACTAACCATTAATTTATCTCTACTCCTATGTTTCGAAAAAGAAGTGCATAAAATAAGGTGCAGAGAACTTAACTCTACTCCTATGCTTTGAAAATGAAGTGCATAAAATAAAGTGCAGGAAATTAAGTGCAGGAAATATATATGATAAGAAAAATATAAATCAATTGTCTTTGATTTGAATTCTGAATGTTTTTACAATGTGCCATTGATGGCTATTTATAGAGGAAAAAATACAACAATAACTACTTAGTAACTACCTATTGCTCCCATCTTCATCCTTGTCTTGTCATTTGTTCTTCCACTTATCCACTTTGTCCTTCATATTCTCCATCATCTCCATAACTTCTTTTAACTTTCAAATGAATAAGAGGATGCCACGTACCCTAAAAATAATAACAATAATAATGCTAATAATAATAATAATAATATTTTATGGTGCCAATAGTTGTATTTGATATTCTTAGTTTTGATTTGATTTGGATAAATTGTATAACTTTTAGATATTTTTGTTCAATAAACGTTTTATTTAAATCATCTTATACAATTGTTTTCATTACTCTGTACTAAAATTGTTAAGCGAGTCATACTTAATAAGACGGGTCATGCATCAATCTTAGTTTAGTTTAGTTTAGTGGTGACAGTCGCTGCTAAGTGAAGATGATTCATAGCTGTCTGGTTTTAATTTACAAATCTTTTTAATGATGTATTTTTGATCAACTTACATCATTTTATCCAAATTAATGATTTTCTAAAAACTAATACAATAATTCCTGATTATAAGGTTAGTGGTGGATTTAAAACCCTGAGGAATTTCTTATATTATTTTATTTATTTTATGTTTTATTAATTTTAATTTTATTATTCTTAAATTACTTTAATTATTATTTTTGTATCAAAACAACTCGATTAGTCCTTAAGGATCGACACCTGGTCTTAATCGCTATACTTTAGAATAGTAGTTATTACTTAGTTATAAATATAATATTTTGGTGTGCAAACGACAAACATCACATATCAAGCCAATCCAAACAAACTGCAGAACAAACGAACTAGTTCTTTTAATTTTCTACAACAAATCCAAATTCCAAACTCTATCATGATGTCAAATTCCAAATTTCAAAAAAAACCAAAGTTTTACTAAGACCTGAAGTAGATTGCCACAAGATTTTCTTCAAATCGACAAATGCGAAAATTTTCCAAGATCAACAAGTGGCCAAAGACCGCACCAACGACCTAAAATTCATATTCAGAATGATCAGTATCATTTTGTGCTACATTGACTTTGGAAACAACATTTCTTTTTTCTTTCAAACTTGGACAATCTTTCTTCCAATGTCCTTTATCATGAAATTGTAGAGAGTAGTGAGAAGTTGAGTGATTGTAAATTTTCTCAAAATCTAGTGAAATCAAGTTGTCTTTGTGGACTAGGCAACCCCAACCACGTAAATCTCTTGAGTTTGTCTTGTGTACTCATATCTGAGGCCCTCTAGTACAACAATTGGTATCACAGCATTGTTGTACAAAATAGAGCTTCTACATCTCTGTTTCATAACTCTGGCAGATTTTGAAGTTGTTGAAACCAACTTTTGAATACACCATTGCGTAGCTCTCATCGAGTAGAGCAATTTGAAAAAAAGAATTCACCTCAAACAAACACTGGAAGCCCTTTCAATTGCCAGTCAAATTTGGTCTAAAAAGTCAACATTCAAGCCAAGAAGACGGGCCAAGCCAAGCCGCAAAGCCGAGCCAAGCCGAAGAAGAATATTCTGTGGAATATTCTGTGACATCACTGTGACATTATCGTGACATCACTATAGAATATTCTGTGGAATATTCCTTGCCACGTCAGCACTGTCACGTTAACAGTTTAACTGCCACGTTAGCAAGGTGCGACGTCATTAGTAATTTTTGAAATTTACATTTTGGCCGTTGAATTTTGGTGAAATTTCAATTTAGCCCCAGTTATTTCTGAATTTATGTTTTGGTTCTGGAACATTATGGAATTTTCAGTTTAGCCCCTAAAAATTTGAAAATTTTCAATTGTCCTAGTTATCTTTAAAGTGGGCTTTTTTGGTAGTTCAATTTTTTTTAAGGAAAAATGGTTGAAGAAAAAGCTTCAACAAGTAATCCAGAAAAAAGGAGTTCAATCTCTAGTGCTAAGTTTATGTGGAGAAATTTGATGGAAACAATAACTTTGGTATGTGGCAATGCGAAGTTATGGATGTTCTCTACCAACAAGAACTTGACGTCGTTCTGGGAGACAAATCGTCTGATATGAATGAGAAAGAATGGACACAAATTATGGAAGAAATTGGAAGATAGATACATGACAAAGAGTATAGAGAATCGTCTCTACTTGAAGAAAAAACTTTTTCATTTTAAATATCGAGAAGGTATTTTGATATCTGAACACTTGAATGCTTACAATAAGATACTTGTTGATCTTCAGAATTTAGATGTTGATATTGATGATGAAGATAAAGCTCTTTTATTGTTAAATTCTCTTCTTGACACATATGATCGTCTTATCACTACTCTGTTGTATTGTAGGGATGAAATTTCTTTTAAAAATGTGTCTAGTAGTTTGATTAACAATGAGTACAGGAAAAAAGACAAAGAGAGTTTCAACAACACATTTAGTAATGCTTTGACAGTTAGGGTCAGATCCCATATGAAGTTAGCGGTCGTTAGAGTTAATCCCGTGAAAGATGAATGGGCCTATTGTCATGAGAAAGGATATTGAAAGAAAGATTGTCCAAGTTTGAAGGGAAAAAGAAATGCGAATTTTTTCCCAGACCAACAAGTGGCCGGAGACCACACCAATGACCTAAAATTCAGATTCAGAATAATCGGTATCATTTTGTGCTACATTGACTTTGGAAACATCATTTCTTTTTTTGTTTCAAACTTGGACAATCTTTCTTCCAATGTCCTTTCTCATGAAAATAGGCACATTCATCTTTCGGGGAATTAAGTCTAACGCCTGCTAACTTCAAATGGGATCTACCTCTAACTGTCAAAGCATTTAAAAATGTGTCTAGTAGTTTGATTCAAAATGAGTACAGAAAGAAAGACAAAGAAAGCTTCAATAA